GGGTTGCGGGTCGGGCAGTTCGGGTTGCGGGTTTTACCACTACAAAAAAGAGGAGGTTTAGGTAGGATTTTCGCTGCCAAAGCCAAATATAGGGCCAAAAGAATCAAAGATAAGAGGGTAATAGAGATGTAATCGGGCAAAAACTAGAGATATAACGGAAAATATATTAAAAAGATTTATGTCTATCTTGACTCTTGAGGAAAGAAAATCAAATCAAAAAATCTATTTTACGCCAAAGCCAAATACACGGCTGCCAATGCCATTATCGGGAAAATGAAAGGTGTTTGCCTGTGTCTAAAAACTATAATACATCCTACGTATTCCGATCTTAAGCAAACTATTAGGGTTTTAAATTATTTGGATGGGTTTGAATTGATATTTACAAAATCAAAGTATATGAGTTAAGTGATTAAAATGATTAACTATAATAAAAATAAAAAGTATGGCTGTCGAGGTTAAAAAGGGCCGCCAATCCAAAAGGTAGGTTGTGAAAGTTCAAAATTTAGGTTGAAAAGTGAAAAGGGCCGCCAATCCAAAAGGTAAATAGGAAGTTCAAAATTTAGGCTGAAAAGCTAAAAGGCCCGCCACTCCAAGAGTCAAAAATGAGATTAGTGATTACCAATGGTTACACTTTTAAATATAGGTTTCGTTTGGATGGATCAATCTAGAAATGAGTCAATTTGATCAATTGTCTCATTTTATAAACGAGGCAAGTAAAACGAGTCAATTCGAATTACTTGCCCCCACCCCTAGCAAATTGAAATTGACTCAAAACGGATCAATTCAAAATACCTCAGCCAGATTGATCCATCCAAATTTTTTACAGGCAAACGAGGCAATTTGGAAAAAATGTTGTGAGTTCAATTGTAACTTTACTCGATAACATATAATCTAAACTCTAAATAGTCTATACCCTGAACCCCAAATGATTTTATTCATGAACATGTGTTAATAAATAACTTGATCCTTATTATTTACGATTTTGACTAATCTTGGCTAAACCATTAATAGTTTAATACATTAACCCTAACCCATACGTCGACTCTATAACATATACCCTAAACCCCTAATGGTTTGATTGATAAACATATGTTAATAAAAAAATTGATCCGTATTAGTTATGATTTTGACTAATCATGGCTAAACCATTAATACCTTATACCCTATAAGTCGACTTTATAATCTACACCCTAAACCCCTAATGGTTTGATTCATGAACATATATTAATAAGAAAACTTGATCTTATTAGTTATGATTTTGACTAATCGTGGCCAAACCATTAATACCTTATACTCTAACCATATAACCTACAAGTCGACTCTATAACCTATACCCTAAACCCCTACTGGTTTGATTCACGATGTAATGATCAGAGTTTAGTGAACTAGGATTTCAAATGTCAACTTATAGTTTATCTTCATTGAAATCCTTCTATTATAGTCGAGCTGCGGGTTGGTCGGGTTACGGGTTGCGGGTTAGTCGGGTTGCGGGTTAATCGGGTTGCGGGTCGATCGGGTTGCGGGTCGATCGGGTTGCGGGTTGGTCGGGTTGCGGGTCAATTGGGTTGCGGGTTGGTCGGATTGTGGGTCGGGCGGGTTACGGGTCATTGACTTTTAGTCAAATCGGGTTGCGGGCGGGTTGCGGGTAGGGTTGATCGGGCGGGTTACTCGGGTCGGGTTACATTTTGACAGCTCTAATGATGGTGAAATAGGCACAAACTTTATTTTACAAAAGTATCATATACAATAAGATAACAGATAATATGAATAAAATTGAAATCCAAAATATTCATAGAAAATAGACATACTAGGTACAAATATTCATGGATGGCCTACTATGAGAAATAAGTAGCCTCCATTGGAATATTTTTGAATAGCTATAATAAAATCTTGATCATATTGTATCTTACCTCAATGCATTATGTCGAGAGTCTTTGACCAATGATAATTTGGCTGATTTTTCGTGCTGATAACATGTTATAAAACTAATGGAAAATATAAACAACTACAAGAGAAAATTAGAGGGGAAAGACACAAAAGAAGAGAGAGGAAGATAACTTTCTTATTCATTCTTCATTTTTGATACAATGGTGTGCTCTATTTATAGTCACACCTTGGTAAATGGTAACCACTACATCCTTATATCAATGAGAGATAATGAAACATAAAAGAGCTATCAAACGTAGGAATAGCAGTTACATGTAACTCTCAAGTGAGCATCTAATGTGGTAATGACAATGGTCATCCATATATCCATATTTTCAATATAGGCTACTAATTTTTATAATAATGCCTGCTTTTTCGGTTGTGCTTTACCATTTGTATAATCTTGGTGTAGATTATTGATTAATCCCTTTTATAAGTCAAACTTTCGTTAATTTAAGGTTACTCTTGTTGGTGAGGTATGTAACGGATTTGGGCCTTAAGTAGCCGTTAATATCACTACTTTATTTAGAATTTTTTTCTAAATTAAAGTAGATTTTAATTTTCCTATTTTTTAACAATCGTCATTCATTGTAATGGGCAAGATTTAAACTCTTGTGATAATGTCGACTTTGCCCGATGGGCAAGATTTAATCTCTTGTGATAGATATTTCTAGCACCATAGTCGTGCATTTCTGGTTGGTCATTTTGCAAGTGCTCATATGGTATGAAAGTAATTGAAGGAAGTGAAATAAGTTACATCGATCTATCAGGTGATAGTTCGATTTTATTCGCTTTTACAAATTTATGAGAGTAATTAAGCATGCTCTGTTGAAGATTGCCAATGTCGTTTTATTTTTCTTTGTTGTGACTTTTTGTGCCAACTCGATACTGGGCTTTCAGTATACTCCGTCGAAGGAAACTACACTCGCTGGCGGCCTTGAAGATGTTGGATTTTGGTTTTTGTTTTTTTCCTTGTCACTGTCGTGTCTTTGCTCCTCCGAGCTTCTTTAGAACTGTCCAAGTAGTGGCTTTACAGGCTCTTTCATCGGTATTCTGGTTAGACACGGACTAATGCATACTGTTTGAGTCGGTCTTGTAATCGTGTTGAGTCTTTGTCCCATCCCGTCAGGGCTTGCCTTGGCAAAAAAAATTATCCCTCCCACTTCTTTTGAGAAATTAGAATTATGGTAAGGTTTGGAGAGTGTAGGGTGACGTAATAAGTGGGGGGTATCCATGGGTCGGGTATTCCTAAAACCACACCCATCCCGATGAACAGTGTAATGGTTTAAACCCGAAACCAGCCAACACGGGTTTTACCCATGTTGACCGGGTTGGGACATGCAGGGTACCCGTAGGTTCGAGTTTTGTTGTCATCTCTACTTCTAAGTTTAGTCATCAAATTCGATAAAAAAAAGTTTATTATTTTCCCTTTGAGTATATTTGAGGATTTTACTTTTGTGGGACCAGGAGTCAAATTCATCGATGTGACGGATAACGATGATTAAGAGGAGTCATGCGTTCAAGTTAGGGACAAGGAAGAGCCATCCGTGGAAGGGGAGGGAACAGGGGGAGTACTTGGTGGCCTATGGCAAGATCTTGTGTATGATTGCCACCAGAAGGACCCCCATTCAGGCTAGGAGGAACATCAGGTGAAGCAAACGATGACATGAGCTAAAGAAAGTCAAAAGAAGGTAGATCATTCGTGGTTGGGGCTTCATGGTACATAACATTCTCCAGAAAGGTGACATGATAGGATATAACGCATGTGACGTTCAATGTAATCATAACAGAGGTAATTCCCTTATAAAGTGAACGGTATATGATGAAAAAACAATGTGCATTCTTGGGAGCTTAGCTTATGATGTGCTCATTTGGGAAGAAGCACGAAGCAAACTAACCAAAAAATCCGAAGACGTGATTAGTCCGACAGCTTTGAATATAAACAATGAAAAGGTGATGTGTCATTCAACACATATGTGATCTGACAATTAATCAAATAGACGACAGTACTCACAACTTCTACCCAAAAATCATTCACCAAATGATAATGGAAAGGGATAGCACGAGCTCACTCTAGGACATGTCATGCTTCCCTTCAACTAGACCATTTTAATGAGATACACTCGGACATGATTGTTGAGGCAGGATCCCACGAGAGATATAAAACTCAAGTAATGGATTCGAGATAAACTCCGAGCCAGGATCAGATTGAATAACTTTTTCTACCTTACAAAATTTAGCGTGCCATCTGAATAAAGGCCTCCAAATGATCATCCAACTCGGACTTCTGAAGCATAAAATATATCCAAGCATATATGATAGTGTTTATCTATGAAGAATACAAATTATGGTAACTCATTAGCTAGGTGGCAAGAGAAGGCCCCCATAAATCCGTGTGAATGAGATCAAATGGGGACGCATATTATGTCTCACAAGAAGAAAAAAGTGCATGTTGAGGCGAATGCATGGTTGGGACGTATTGAACTTTGGAGAAACTGAATGGGTAATAAAATTCTTCAAAACATATGCAATAATAGAGCGATATGCAGATATCCAATACTTTAATGCCATAAATCCCAAACTGAAATCGAGTTTTGTGACATACATTTTCTGGAACCCAAAGTCTTAACAAAGAAAAAACCAAATGACTTGGACGAAGTATATGACACATGTGTTGTAGCACACTCATTCAAACAACTAAACTGTGAATGAGCGGCGGATCAAGCATCAGCACTCACCAGCAGCACTCGCAGCCCAACTCTCACGTCCCTGACATGTCTCGTCCGGCTTGCAATAGGACAACGACGGTGATATTGTCCTGGACAAATACTCTGTCATCCTTCTTACTTGTGCAGACAGAACACACCCCCTGATCATTAAACGTAACTGAATAGCCATCATCTATCAATTGTCGCGCCCCCGATCATCATGAAGAAGATATAATGTATTTTCCTGTTATAGAATTAGACAATGGTACCTAAATTCCTCTCTGAGATGGTCCCAACTCTGGGGGGGGGGGGGGGGGGGATCTCTATGATGATGAGCAAAAAGAAACAAATACAAGGAACACAAGCTTTGAAAGCGTGACAGTAATTCCATATTATAGACGTTCATGTATACATACAAAATAAAAAATAGAAGTTAAAAAGAAGAAGCCTTCAAAATTATAGTGCGAAACCAAACCCCAACTAAATATGCTGTCTTTCTTTCTTCATTATTCAGACTCCCACTCAATCGCCAAACTCCATCCCCGGATTGCTCCCACATATATATAATATAACCCTCATTTTCTTGTCTTACTAACTACCACCAAAACCAAAATTAAACAAATAATCTCCCCCATTAGAAACATTCATCTAATAAAATTTCATCATCACGTTACGTAACATTCTCTTCTCCTTTTCCCTTTCTTCTTACTATCAGATTAATAAATTCAATGATTACTTCCCTATGATCAAGTTTCATCCGGAAAAGAATTATATATGGCATGATCAGCACTTGGGAAGATCAGATGGAGGTGGCAAAATCGATTCGTTGGGACCTTTCCCGTTATCCACCACCCACGCCATCTTCAGCCCCCATGTCGTATGCACCTCCAGATGGCAATGCATAAACCAAACCCCTAAACATAATCAACACACACAAAAAAACCATCAGAAAAAGATTCAGCCCGAAAAAGTCGAACCCAATGGAATGGAACCCATCAACTCTTTGTCACCTGGATTATCAGCTCTGAACCTGATGGCGGTCCAACCACCGGCTGGAACCCCAACCGTGTTCCTCTCAACCGGGTCGACAAGGTTGAACCTCTTCGGATCCTTCTCCGGGTCGAAATTCCCCACGCCCCGACCCACCTCGAAGAAATTAAACCCGTGGAGATGAATCGGGTGGTTCTCGGGTGTAATCATCCCCGTGTCCTGCAGAACCAGCTGCACGGCGTCGTTGTACGCCAGCCTGTACACCCGCGTCCCGTTCTGCGTCGCCAAGTTCGCGGGCTGGGCCGTAGTATTCGTGTAGTCATACGGTTGGGCCGGGTTTGCGGGAAAGTCGTCGGTGAACACCCCTTCGATGCCGAAGTAATGGGCCTGGAGCAGGCCCACAGTGGGCATGTCGAACGTGACGTTGTTGAAATCGGCCACGACGCGGGCCCCACCGGTGCACGTGGGGCACGTGTTGAGGCCGAGCGAGATGGTGAAGAAGAGCGAGTGGTCGACGGTGGTGGGGACGTTGGCCGGGTACTCTTTGGAGTTGAGGGCGAGGAGGGAGTTGGTGAATTTTGTTGCGACGAGGGTGGAGTTGATGGGCGGCGGGGCGGTGAGGGAGACCGGGGCGGCCATCTGAGTGCCGGTGTAGTGGAGGATGGCGGTGGCAGTGCGGTTGTCGACGGTGATGGGGGCGTCCATGAAGGGGGAGACGGAGACCATGTACCTGCCGGAGCCCTGTTGGGTTGTGACGAGGACGTTGGTGGTCTGGCCTGGGCCCAAAACGATGGTGTCGACTTTGAACGGCTTGACGTAGGTGGCGTCGACTTCGACGACGGTGAGCTTGTGGCCGGCGATTTTGAAGAAGAGCTCCTCGTTGAGCCCGGCGTTGATGACCCGGAGCATGTACGTCATGTTGGGCCGGACGGGGAGGGTGAATCCTTCTGTACAATCAAATAGTGAATCAAGAAACCATTAGAAAAAAATAGTGAGACGTTATATCGAAAAGTTAGTGATAGACTAATTTTTGAATTCAATTATTTTGTATCGCTCAAATCATCTATCATTTGGGTTCGATATTCGAGAATTTCGGTCGGACCAGCTGGTACGACTAGGAATCACAATTTGAACATATCCAGTAAGTATTACTCGACCTGATCGGCAATGGGGCGGTATTACCCGATCCGTAAAACCATGGGTAGGGCATGGATATCTACTTTCGACTCCCCTACCATAATTTCTTACAATATTTATTTATATCTCTAATTTTAGTTTTTTTTTAACTAGTTAAACTTGATTTTTTCAACTAGTTAGACTCAATTACTCATCTCTTATTACTTCATCCATAAAGTATTTTTTTTCTTCGTTTTATCGTTAAAGATAAATTTTGCATATATTATTTTCAAATAACATGTAAAAGTGGGTCGATTTGCCCTGTACCTGCGCATGTATTACCCGTCCGACCATGTTTAATGTGGGATGGATATGAGTATTGGATTACCCTTCTCACCCCACTTATTTGCCATCACTAGGTACGATAGGTTTGTAGACCATTGCTAAATTGAAGTACGAAGTGAAGTAGGGTTTGCTTACTCTGGGAAGGACAGCCGGCGACGGGTCCGGTGAGGCCGTTGATGGTATGGGCGTCGGAGATGTTGGGTGCGCCACCGGAGTTGAGAGCTTCCTTGATCACATCTTCGACGTCGGATTTCCACCATTCGGCTAACACCAAGGTATGCTCCTTGTGCGGTTTGGGGTACGGGTAAGGAACGCCGCGTTTTGGCAAGATGACAATAGCTCCGTGGACGGTGGCCCTAAGCCAGAGAATGTGAGCGTGCCAGAGAAGAGTTCCCCGCTGACCGGTTAGGGTGAAATTGTACAGGTACGTCTGGCCCGGCTGGAGCGGGCACTGGGTTATGTACGCCGGCCCGTCGGCCCAACCGGTTCGCAGCTGTCTGATCCCATGCCTGCACCCCGCCGAAGCCGATCGAATTAATTCCGACGTCCAAATTAAATATATGTTCAATTAATAATTGTGCGATTAAATAATAATAAGATTTATGATAACCAACGTACCAATGGATGCTCATGTTGTATTGGACGTGGTTGACAACCTTAACGAGAACGGTGTCGTCTTCACGAGCAACGAGGGTAGGCCCAGGAAATTGGCCATTCACCGTGACGATCGGCTTGGTTGAGCAGAGTCTGCTCGTGTTTGTCAGCACCACCTGTCCATTTAGCACAGCCGCCAGCCACTGTTATATTCCTATATTTAATTTGTTTTCTTTTTTCTGACCAACAATTAATTAGTTAAATGATAGAAAAGGTAACTGCTGTTGGTGACCAGAAATGACCAAACCATACAGCTCCCTCTCAACTACATGCAATTCGAACAAATATATATGTATAAAAATGCTGACCCAAAGTCACATCAGGCAGTGGTGCAACACAAAACGTGGCAGTTGGTTCAACTACTTGCACACATATGTATTTGCGCATATATAACATTTGACGTAAACGCATCCGACAGCCTAACTAATAAGCCTGCCAATTGGCGACATAATCAAATCAGATATATTGCAGAGAACAAAATTTGACAATTAAACTGATTTGGATTAGTGAGCTATGAATGAATATTACATATATATATATAATTGACAATTTTACGTTCCTCCATATAGTAAGTAGCTAGTTTTGTTGACATTTTACTATGTAATTTCTATTTTTATAGGGTTAATAGTATTTTGTACCCTTCTATTATAGTAAATTAACAAACATACCCCTTTACTAAATTTTTGCACAAACATACGCTTTTTGTATTAAAACGTAACAAGTTTACCCTTCCATCTAAATTTCTGTTAAGTAACCATTAAAAGAGCTAGAAAATGACCAAATTGCCCTTCACTCCTAATTTCAATTTTAATTATTTTATTATTTATCTCCTTTAATCAATTAATTAAAAAAATTAAACCCTATGCTAATTCAGAATCGCTCCGTGTCCCTAGGTCACCCATGGCGATCGACTCGGCGGCGGCGGCGGCGCCTGCTCCTCGCTCTACCTGCCTCTCGTCGACGGCCACCGGAGATCCGACGTCTCCGCCCCCAAACGACTCGGCCGCGGTGACGGCAGACTAGTTCTTTTCAAAAAAACCTCAGACCAACTCCGATTCAAATTCCAAGTCACCCACGACAATCAAGTCAAGAGCTTTATTGCCGGAGCGCTCGTCACATCGCAAAATCCCAACCACCGAACCTTCAGCGGTTGTAAAAACAAAATCAAACAGTACGGACGGAATCGGCGTATGGGATCATTTCACCGGGAAGCATGTTGATTTCTTCTACGAATCCCCCTGATGGTCTCTAGGTCACGCCAATCAACTCCATTGGTTGGACGAAAAGAACTCTTATAGATAGCTACTCTGACAATTGCTATATTAGTCTTCTTGATTTAAGAACCAAGGACATGCCGTAGTCGTGGTCGGACGTTGGAGCTCCGGTGACCGTCGACGAGAGGCAGGTTCGGCGAGAAGCAGGCGCCGCAACTGAGTCGATCGCCAGCGGTGAGACGGACAGTGATTTTGAATTAGTTTAGGGTTTTATTTTATGAAGTTAATTGATTTAATAAAATAAATAAAATTGATTAGGAATAAATGAGGGGCAATTTGGTCATTTCTCAACCCTTTTAACGGTCACACGGAAGGGTACACTCGTTACGTTTTAATATTAGGAGGGTATGTTTGTGCAAAAATTTAGTACATGGGCATGTTTGTTAATTTACCATAATAGAAAGGTACAAAATGCTATTAACCCATTTTTATATCAATATTTGTGATTTTCCCCCAACAATAATGATGCATTTAATTATCACATATAATCATTTTGGGAGAAAATCATAAGTTAGTTAATGTAAACAAGCAATTTCTTTAAAAAGAGGAAACATGTCGACTTTAATTTGTTATATTCGCTTCAATTTTCATGTATACGTCAGAGTATTTAATTATTACTAGTGATAGTGATTGTTATTTGAATCGAAATTACCATCGATGTGATAAACTAAGAGAAAAATGATTATGATAAATAAATTATTATAGCATCGTGAGAGAGGGAAGGACATGCAACGGAAAAAATGGATAATATTTATCTCGCACGACGTAATTCACTACACCACCATATATGATATATCCGCGTCCAGAAAACAAATCTTCCACCAGATATGAATCAGTTCAGCCATAAGTGATGGTGGCGGACTCAACCACGATTCACGACCGACTTCTTTTCCTCTCTTTTTTTATTTTTTATTTTTTTATGATGAACTGGACTGACTTATAGGCTATAGTAGATGAATCAAGGTCGACCATGAAAAGCATTTAGAGAAGCAGGCAGCATGGATATTACTGACGTATATATATACATGAACATGAATGGATGGCCATGACTTACATTGAACTTGTAGTGGCGAACCATGCACTCAACGGGTGAAGGCAGGAGAGAAGTCGCCGCCAGGAGAACCAACGGCAGGATCATTACCGGAGACCACCTAAACGTCGTCGTACCCATCTTCGTCAACTGTACGTGTTACCGGCGCCGGCTACGTTCGTAGCAGTCCTTTTCCCCCTGCCGGCCGGAAATAGGGCAAACAAATGCTGGCTACCTACTAGGCTGAAGGCTGTATGTTAATGCCGTTAGTTGCTTGGGAGTAAGGATTGGCCATGCAAATATAGCCAATTTATAAAGGGTTGGGGGATATACACGCTGTTGCCGGGTCGTTTTAGGAGAGCAGGTGGGGTGGGATGTGTAGACGTATGGACCGATAAATAGATTAAAGATACTTAACGGCAAAGCTCCTCTACAACTACATCCCACTTCCCCCCCTCATCTCCTTTTTAGTTTTAGTTTATTATTAATTTGAAAAAATGTTGGAGTGTAAGTGGGCCAAAAGGTGCTCCAAGTCCATGGTCTCGTTGTATATCAAACCGGTTGGACCACAAAAATCGTTTATCGTCGGTCTGCCTGGGAGAGTTACGTGCAACCTTCTTAATATTTGATTTTAATATTATAAAATGTGCACCGTATAGTAAATAGACATTAAAAAGTGATAGGATTGTACAAGTTAAGTTGAGATCAGTCCTTCACATACAATATCCGAGTTCAATTCTAATAAGTTGTTATCACTGTCGGCGGATACAATGTGATTGAACTTCCTATTTGCATTTACACCTACCTTTGTCGGGTTCTTAGCGTTACAATAAAAAATTGTGAAAACGTAACAGAATGTATACCAGAAAAGTTAGGTGTAGGGAATTTTGCACCGTTAAAACCGCCTACGTTTGGAATTTCCGGTATTTCCGGTCCGACTAGACGGTACGGTAAGGTTTCTAAAAACATTGGTTATAATATTATATTATTAGTTGAACATATATTATCTTACTTCGATATTATTTTAACAATGCTATCGCACCTATCGATGTGTTATTGCATCGGTCAAACTTAGCCATGCCTCTAAATACCATTCTGCTAACTTATCTAGTACAATCTCTACTACGGTTACCCGAACTCGGAAACTAAAATGAAAAATGGGAAATGAAAATAAAGAGGAAGGCAGACAGGCGGCAAGTCTGGGGGGATGTAGCAAGTCTAATAAGCCTTTTCTTGTATGGCACACAAAAGTAGTTACGTCAATGAGACAGACAGACAAACCAACGAACGAACAAGGGAACGAACAAACAGAAGAGGACAGAAGCTGGGAGGCTCGATCGATCGCGGTCATAGCAAGCAAGCAAAAGCAACCCAAGTTTTTCCCAGAATTGATAAGCTACCAGGTTGAAATTGGTGGACATGGCAAAGGCGGCCATGGTAAAAGAGCCATAGGGGAGAAGTTGGAATGGTGGTCAGCAACCTCTCCAACCGTATGGATAAATTGGGGTTAATGTGGCAACCAATCTCGCACCTACCCTCTAACTGCGAAGTGTGATCACTTTTTCTTGCTTAGGCTTAGCTAATCCTCTTCCATTCGTTCTTATCTCCCTAGCTTATTCGTTCCTTTAATTACTTTCTACACTTATTGCTATTTATATATAACTGGCTAAGTACGAATTGAAGCCTGGATCTCAACCACTTATGGACACTTGTGATTATCACCTTTATTTTGGCAAAATTGATAATCGTTACACGATATATGTTGATTTATGATAAAAGTAGGATTGGAACTTGGAAGTAATTTGACACGTAAAGATGTTAATCCTAATTATACGGGTGATGATTGTTGGGTCAAGATGTTAGTCTAGACTTGGGTTTTGGGTTGGGCCTTTGTTTAGTGAATCAAATAAAGAGTCCATTAGATTAGCAGAAAAATAGACGTGTGTTAGTAGTTGCTAGCTTTAAGGACTTTGACTGTTAAGCAGTTCCTTGTTTATTGTTTTATAGGCCGAGCAATAGGGGATTAGTGGCTGATTTCTAGCAGTCATTAGTTAAGCTTGATGTATTTAATTTTGGCCTGTCGTTCTAATAACATCATCAAGTTTGCAAGGCAATACATTTATATTACATTGTGGTATCAGAGCCTACGAGCAAACTATGATCGGTGAGAAAGAGAGTGGGAAAGGAAAACATGAGTGTTCTTGGTGAGGATTATGTTTTAGGGTGAGTGCAAAACAACAGGCTAAGTGAGATTGAGGGCTTGCTCAGGTTGGATTGCCAAAGTTTGATGGTCATTATGATCACTGGAGTCTCCTAATGGAGAACTTGTTGAGAACAGCAAAGTTCTGGTCGATTGTTGCTGATGGCTACCAGGAACCACCTGTTGGAACTGACTTTCTGCTGTAGAGAGTAAAGCCTTGGAGGATCTCAAAATCAAAGACCTCAAGGCAAAGAATTACATGTACGACAGCATTGACAAGTAGATTTTTCGCACTATTACTAGGAAGAGTACTGCTAAGGAGTTGTGGGACTCAATGAAGCAGAAGTGCCAAGGTGATGCTCGACTCAAGAAAGCTCAGCTCCAGAAGCTCATAAGGGATTTTGAACCCTGGAAATGAAGCAAGGTGGAACGGTAAATGATTATTTCGGTCGGGTTATGATTGTTTCAAATGCAATGAGGAATTGTGGAGAGGAGATGTCTGATGGTAAGATTGTTGAGAAGATTCTTCAGGACTCTCACTAAGAGGTTTAATTATATAGTGTGTTCAATCGAGCAGTCCAAGGAAATAGACACACTATCAGTTGATGCTTTGCAAAGCTAATTACTTGTTCATGAACAGAAATTTAACAAACAATATGTTGTTGAGGATCAAGCTGTCAGGGTTGGCTAAGATGGCGGTAGAGGCAGAGGTCGAAGGGGTTATCCGGGTCGCGGAAGAGGTCGTGGTAGGGGCTGGAGCAGAGACACTATAGAATGATACAAGTGTCACAAGCTTGGCCACTGCAAGTATAAATGTCCAGAATGGGAGGTGAATTAAAAGAAGGTGCTTCTCATGGCCTGTGTCGAAACTAACATGGAGGAGACACGCGCTTTTAAAGCATATCAGAATTCAAGTGATGCAATGACAGGTGGTTGGTTCGTAGACTCGGGCTATAGCAACCACATGAGTGGTGAAAGAAGATGGTACATTCAGCTGCACTGTCAAATTGGGGAATAACATGAGGCTTTAGGTTTACGGAAAAGGTACCATTAAGATGACAGTAAACAAAATGCCCCTCGAAGTACAAGAGGTATTCTATGTTCCTGGCCTAAAAACAAATCTGCTGAGTCATGGACAGTTGCAAGAGAAGGGGTTATCTTTTCTTATTCAAAGTGATAAGTGCAGAATTTATCAAGAAGAAAATGGATTATTGTTTCAAACATGTATGAGTGCAATCAGATGTTTGTTCTTTATGCAACTCATGTTGCAGCTTTAGCATCAAAAGAAACTCACTATTTCCAGGTATCATCTCCCAAGGCTGGTGAGATTCAATAATGGCATAGAAGGTTTGGTCACCTCCATTACCAAGGGATGCAGAAGGAAAGAATAGTGGCAAGTCTGCCTGTCATTCCAGCTTCTGAACAAACTGAGGTATGTGAAGCCTGTATGGTGGGGAAGCAACACAGGATACCATTCCCTAAAAGAAGTCTATGGCAAGCAGCCACTAAGCTTCAGCTACTACATGCTGGCCTTTGTGGACCAGTTACCCCTACCTCAAACAGTGGGAAAGGTATTTGTTTACTCTCATAGATGAATTTAGTAGAAAAGTATGGGTTTATTTTCTTGATGCAAAGTCAGAAGCATTTGAGGTATTCAGGAGGTATAAGGTGTTAGTTAAAAAATAATCTAGATGCATGATTGTTTGCTTAAGAACTGATAGAGGAGGATATTTTCTGTCAAATGAGTTTAAAACCTACTGTGATGAAGCTGGAATACGTAGGCAACTCACTGCAGCTCTAACTCCTCAGCAAAATGGATTTGCAGAGAGGAGAAATAGAACAATCATGAACATGGTTAGATATATGCTTGCTGATACTAGGGTCCCTGCACGTTTCTGGCCAAAGGCAGTAGCTTGGTCTGCTTATATTTTTGAATAGAAGTCCAACCAAAATCAATAAGAACAAAACCTCATATGAACAGTGGAATGGTACACCTCAAGTGGTGGATCTTTTCAGAGTGTTTGGTTGTGTGGGATATGTACATGTTCATGTTCAACATAGAAGAAAACTGGATGATAAGAGCAACAAGTGTCATTTCTTTGGTATTTGTTCTAAGTCCAAGACATATAGAATGTCCAATCCCAACACAAGGAAGATTGTTATTAGCAGGGATGTTCTCTTTGATGAGAGTAAAGGGTGGAGTTGGAATTCATAAATTCAGCTAGTACTCACAGAGATAATGTGGGAAGGAAGCAAAGAAGATATGCAAGACTCTGATGAAGAAGGAGAAGCACTGAAATCACAGAACCAACCACTCCAATGGGTTCCACTGATTCTGCTACATCCTCCAATAATCCAAGCAGCTCAAGTGATTCCACTACTTCTGCTGCAACTCAAGCAACTCCAATGGCTTCTTCATTGTAAGCTGATGAAGAGCCTAGGACTGACAGCTTAGGCTTACCTCAAAAAAGCATACTTCCTCCTTGATGGCACAATGACTATGATATGGGGTATGCAAGTTTGGATCCAAATGAACGTTATCTTTTCATGGTTACTGCTACATACCCTGTGACTTTTGAAGAAGCAGTCCTAGAAGTGGAGAGATGCTATGCTCTTAGAAAATCAGTCCATAGAGAAGAATGGAACATGGGAGCTAACAACTCTACCTCCTGGAGTCAAACCACTTGGTTTGAAATGGGTGTACAAGACAAAGTTGGACGAGAACAGCGAAGTGGATAAATTCAAGGCTCGGCTAGTGGCCAAGGGATATGCACAACAACATGGGATATAATACACCAAGGTGCCTGGTACTCTAAAATTGAAGGGCATTTCTTGGTGTCGCAACCGTCCCTCCGGGGGTTCGGGGTCGTGTTCTTTTTTTGGGAGTCGCCATCGATCTTACTTGGAGTGGATCGAACACTCATCGGTCAGTTCTAACCTTAGGGTCAAAATCGAGGCTTGGTCTGTGATTAGAAATCTAGGTTTGGGAGTACGGTTATGTGTGGGGAAGTGAAATCACACCCCACCACGCCCTAAATCGGTACTACTTAAGTTGATAAGTTTTTATACGAGTTAGGTGTATTTTTAGTAATGATTTTGTAATTTTAGGGTCCCACTGGAACATTAAATAATTTTATTTCGTTAAGTATAATTTTAGCTAAACGTCCATTGACGTATTAGTTTATTATTAGATATTTTAGATATTTTTAGGGCCTTACTGGACCACTAATGAATTTTAATCGTATTAGTTGTAGATTAATTATACGCCCACTGACGTAAAAATTAATAGATAAAGTTAATTGGTTAGTTGGACTCTAACCTTATTGGTTGCCTACGTACCCGTAATACGGGATCAAAGTCCACGTAGTTCGTTTGAACTTTGATAATTTAATTGTATGACTTTTATCACGTTACACTTATAGTGGCTCTCGTATTAAGGGTTTTGTTAACTTTGATAGTTTTAATCACGTTCCACTGAATGTTATTTTCGTATCATAATTTTGTTACGAAAATTTCAATTAGATTATTATGATGTCACTAAAATGAATGCAAGATTTTAATTATTAATAAGAAATTTGATGTATCAGAAAAGAAGCAAAACTAACTAAATCCGCATTCAAAGTTTCGTATTAACGACTTTAAACAAATAAAACTAAGTGGGATGATTATAATTACAAATGATTGGTCAGCAGCCCCTTTCTCGTTTTATTTCAAAGAAAGGGGAAGGATAGTTTTGTAAATTCCCAAAAACATAGTTTCAAGGCCGCGTTAATTTCCGAAAACCCTAAAGGCATTATCGTCATTTTAGACATGGTGCTATATATTCGTCCTAACGAAACCCTAATCCTACACAGACCCGATCGGCCGCCCTCTCTCTCTTATTCCTCTCATTTTTTTCGCCGTTCTTCTTCTCGTTCTCTCTCTTCTCACTGGCTCCCCTGAGACGAGAAGGAAGAAGAAGAAACTCTAAACAGACACTACAAAATGAAACCCTTCTTCTCGCCTTCTCTCGATATGTCCTCTCTCTCGAATCCATCCACCTCCTTCTCTCTTTGATTCTAAAAGCGACGGAAAAAAACGAGAGGAGATGGATGTGACGGTGGCGATTGAGGCATGGGCCGTCGGCGATGACAACGACAACAACGACGATGAGGGTGAAGTTAGAGGTTCGTTTTTTGTTTTGCATGTACGATTTTTACTATTTTTCAGATTTGATTTTAGGGGTTTTGAAATTCTAATCCCTTTTTCTTGTTTATTTTTCGAAAAAATCGATCTAAATTGAGGTGCGGCTTCTCGATCTATCTTCCCCTTTCTTCGATCTATTCTCCTAGCTAGAACAGCGGCGACATTGAGACGATCTTAACCTCTGGTAAGCCTTTCATTAACATGCATGCTTATTTTGAGATTTTGTAATTCGTATACGAGATTGTTTATATATGTTTTCTTCTTTTTTTTCGGGCGTGGTGAGAAGGAAAAAGGATGACAGACGGCGGCAACCGTGGATTCGTCGCCGGCGAGGACGAACCCAGATCGACGTCCAGGACTCGGTCTCTCTTGGGTAAGCCTTCTCGTTTTTTCTTTCTTTTTTGTACTTGGGTATTTAGGCAAATTCTGATATTTGTTCCTATTTTGACAGGATTGGAATGAAAGAAAGAAAAAATTTATGTTAGTTCCCTAAGAAATGTATAGCTATTATCTGGGTTTCTTAACCAAAACAATATCTTAGGGATTAATTAGTTTGATGATTTAAAATTATTGGACTAAATAGTCTATAATTTTTGTAAATTTTGTGAATGTGGTTTATGCGGCTGGTGTTGCTAAGTTCTAGATAGCTAGGAATAGATTCCACAACGTGCTGGTTAAATTGGTGTTTTATGGTGACACTTTGTAAATCGTTTGTTCTTGCTGAGTTTTTTTCTTTTTAAAAACTATAACATGATTTTAGGATAGCCGAAAACCACAACCATTTCTTGTGATATCATAATGAAAGAAAATGGTTTTGCTCTTGTGTTTGGGGTGGGGTAGTTGTATTCGGTTTACTTCTCTATTTTGGGTGACTTGTTGCTTATTAAGTCATATCGATTAAAAGGGCCTTACAATAGCCTAAAGTCAAAGCCACATCTCATGACTAAAACATAAACTTAAGCTCTTCCTAGATTGCGATTAACTGGGGTTAAGTTTTCCTATTTGTTAACGTGCTTTCATATTGATTAGGGATTCTACAAAGTTGCTATCTTTGTCTATTATTCTTTTGCATGGATATTGATCGAACCAGCTTAGATTGTAAAATACTGACATAGGAAGCAATAACCGCTATAAAACGAAATCTAGCAAAGAGAACATAGATTTGATCTACTTATTGCTTTGATAAGTAGTTTAAAAGTAAATCGGTCTCTTTATGTTAGTTCTTCTGTCAAAAGCAACCTAGTATGGCTAGTTCGATATATGATTTAGTCTAAAAACAATAGTAAGTGGTAGCAACTAGCAAGAGCAGATCTCAATATATGCATATTTATCTATCATATGCATATGATCTACCATATACATACAAATTATCATGAAGAAACACTCTTTCTATTTCCAACAATGATTGTTAGGTAGATGAATGATTGTTTTTATACACATATGAAATATGGTTTGTATTTGAGAAATACCAACCTGGACAACTTGGAAATGGTTTCTTTTTGGTTGATGTGATTATCTCCTTGCTCTGCTTATGCTCTCTTTTACCTTTTGCTTCTGCTTGATGCTGCTATTTGGTGTTCTTGTTACTATTTGTTTCTTGTGAGCCCTTGCTAATTTTTAGATCCACTGATCTCCCTCCTTTTTTCTTGTTTTTTTGTAGACCTCCACTTTTAGATCTGGTTTTTTACTGTTCATTTTGGTGTGTTGTCAATTGTTTAGTTGGCTCTTGAAATGGCAGTCGTCCTACTCTTTTTAGGAGGCAACATCCATTTTCTGCTTGCCTTCCGAGATATATTACGGACATTAGCTCTGGGCCTGATTGAGTTTGCAATTGGGTCTCGGTCATGGACTGTTGGTTTGGGCTTTGTTCTATTGTTTTCTTCTTCTATTGCAGGTTATTGGTTTGGGCTAGGTGCATAGGCAGGAGCAAAATTGGCCCAAATGGCCTCAATTAAACGAGCATAATCTAATTGGTTGTAATTAGTTTTAATTCTTTCATTATTTAGGATCATTACTCATGTGATGTACAAATGTGATATATTTGATAATAAAGCTTTTTTTCCTTTGTTCAAATCGTTTTACTTTGAGTCTATCATGCTTACCCAAACTCCACTAATACTTTTATGCCAAACATCCTAATGATGAACTTTACGCTACCATTATATTTTATTATTGTTTAAGATTTGTCTCTGCTAACCTTAACTAAATCGATTATATCTTAACCAATCCTAGAATCAACTAGGTTGGTATTTATTGAGTAATTATTAACTTGCCATTGCTAGTCTCAACTCATATGGGAATGCGTTAGGGTGGAAACTGAATTTCTAGTAACCACCGTGGCTACATCAGTATCCACCATTTATTTTCTTCTCTTTCCTCTTTTTTTAATCTTATGGTTAAGATTGCCTCAGGATAATTTTGGAAGAAAAAAAAGGACCACACTTGATTATTCTATATATTCTACCCTAACCCTACTTCTACAGCCAAACCCGCCGTAGCCGCAACACTAGCAGCCGCGGAGCTTTCTTCCCGACTCCACCCGCCGGAGCTTTCTTCTACAGCCAAACTCTTCTACGACTTCACCCGCCGGCGATTCGCTCTCGAGGTCCTGGGGAAAAAATGGATGTTTGGTGGAAGGCGTCCTCCACCTGCCAGGGAACCCTCTCGTGAAGCTCGATTCGCAGGATCTGCTGCAAATCGGGGACAAGGAATTCTACTTTCTGCTCCCGGTGAGGAGCATTTTGGGCAGGGCGTTAGGGCCGAGGCATCACGTGCCTGTGGTGCCCCCGCCGCCGCAGTACGGATATCATGGGGCGGAGAGGGCTTTGCTGCCGACTGCTGCCGGGAAGAAAGGGAGACGGAATGGTAGTCATTTTTTCCGTAGTCATTTTTTTTAAATGGTAGTCATTTTTTCCGTAGTCATTTTTTTTAAATGGTAGTCATTTTTTCTCGTAGTGGTAGTGTTTTTGTCGCATTGGTATTGATTTTGTCGCATTGGTATTGATTTTGTTACATTGGTATTGATTTTGTCGCATTGGTAGTGATTAAATCTGCAATGGTATTGATGTTTTCTGAAATGGTAGTGTTTTTATTTCTTGAATGGTATTGATGTTTTGTACAATGGTAGTATTTTTTTAATGGATTGGTATTGATTTATTGTTTTGTTGTTGCAGCGGTATTAGTTTGGATGAACGAAATCAAGGAAAGATTGAGAAAAAGAAGGAAGAGAGATCTCGCTGAAAAATTGTGGAAGTGAGAGAAACAGAGAGAGAAAAATTGTATTTAATATATTTATGTAATTTCCTAAAATGTAATTTATTAAAAAAGATCATTAATAAATTTTTTGTTATACCCAATTTGCCCTTAGTAACCACGGTGATTACTATAAAATAGTAATCACCGTAACCTGTCCCAACTCATATGCTATTAGAAAGAAAATTTGATATATAACTAGTACTTATTGACTTGTCACTGCTAGTCTCAACGGAATTGATATTAGAACTAAATAAAAGTGAACTTGGAGATCATTAGTACTTATTGACTTGCAATTGCAAACTCAAATCAATTCCTCCCAAGCATTCTATTTAATTTATCAATATCGATTTTCTCCTTTTGGGTTTTAAGTATAGTGTGTGCCCCGGACAAAATGTGGTGTCTACAGTTGCCCCCCTCTGTATATCTCTTTGTATAAAGAGTTATACAAAGTTCTTATAAAGACACCATATTTTCAAGAAGTGTCATGATAGTTGTATTAGATCTTTAAAAAGAATGTGATTTTGGGTGATGTGAGAATTGTTCGTACTTTTGTGTGTGTACGATCATGCTAACTAATACGGGAAATTTCAAGCTCTTTAGAGTCTGAGAAGTATATGCAATATTTTCGGGCGCTAACCAGCATGTTGTGCGGTATTGAATGGTAGAGGGGCTCGCCAGCTCCTTTGAGATCTTGAATGGTAGGAGCGTTCTTCGGCTCCCGTGCGTTGTTGAATGGTAGATGGGCTCGCTTGCTCCTTTGATTTATTGATTGGTAGGGGCGCTCTTCAGCTCCCGTGTGTTGTTGAATGGTAGAGGGGCTTGCCAGCTTCTGTGAGGTTTTGAATGGTTGGGGCGCTCCTCAGCTCCCGTGCGTAGTTGAATGGTAGAGGGGCTCGCCAGATCCTGTGAGGTATTGATTGGTAGGGGCGCTCTTCAGCTCCCGTGCGTTGTTGACTTGTAGAGGGGCTCGCCAGCTCCTGTGAGGTATTGATTGGTAGGGGCGCTCTTCAGCTCCCGTGCGTTGTTGACTTGTAGAGGTGCTCGCCAGCTCCTGTGCGGTTTTGAATGGTAGGGGTGCTCCTCAGCTCCCATACGTTGTTGAATTGTAGAGGGGCTCGCCAGCTCCTGTGAGGTTTTGAATGGTAGGGGTGCTCCTCAGCTCCCATGCGTTGTTGAACGGTAGAGGGGCTCGCCAGCTCATGTGATATTTTGAATGGTTGAGGCGCTCCTCAGCTCCCGTGCATTGTTGAATGGTAGAGGGGCTCGCCAGCTCCTTTGAGGTCTTGAATGGTAGTAGCGTTCTTCGGGTCACGTGCGTTGTTGAATGGTAGAGGGGCTCGCCAGCTCCTTTGAGGTCTTGAATGGTAGGAGCATTCTTCGGCTCCCGTGCGTTGTTGAATTGTAGAGGGGCTTGCCAGCTCTTGTGAGGTTTTGAATGGAAGGGGTGCTCCTCAGCTCCCATTAAGTAAACATGACCCAAATACAGTCATACATTTTTGTTATATGACGATTTTTAGGTGTTCATCATCGCCAAAAGTTTTTGTTGACGCATTTTTAGGCATTCGTCATCGCCAAATGTTTTTATGTTGACGTATTTTTAAGCATTCGTCAATGCCAATTGTAGTATGTTGACGGATTTGAGGCGTTCGTCAGCGCCAAATGTAGTTTTTTAGGGTAATTCCAGAGGACATGCCTAAATCGATGCATTAACTTGTCCTAATTGTAGAGTGAAAGCTCATGTCAGACTCAAGAAGTCAAAAGTATGTAACTGTCGTGTTTTGCATCTGGTCCTTTAGTTGGACATTTGAAATTCAGATAAATGTTTAACTTAACTTATGATGATGTCGTTCACTGAGTATGAAAATGATTTGCAGAATGATTGTATGGTGAGTCATGCTGATGAATGATGCATGCATGTCATGTGAAAATGTAGTATGATGTATTTTGTAGTGATTCCTTTTTACAAACATTGGAAATCCAACTAAATGTATGAGTTATTTTGGGAATTGCTGGCAATAAATGCATGATCCATTTTAACATATGATGATGTTGTTTAAGGAGTATCAAAATGATTTTCAAAATCGATTGCGTGATTAATTGAATCATGCTGATGAAGTCGGGAATGTTGAGTGAAAAAGAGGATGTGGTGCATTTGATAATTTCTATGAAATTTTTTGTCTGGGTCTCCTTTAAATTGCTCATCTTCCAAGATTTTCAATCCCTTTCTGATCAACTCGATCCATAGTTCATGCTTATGCTGAAGCGACTTTGAACTTGTTGTGTTAAGGTATATCTTCTTGGTGGTAGTTGCGCGAAGATATACTTTGTGAGCTAAGGTGATGATGTGTTTTATCTCTGTT